TAACGCTTGTGAAACTATTTGGCGAAAATAAATGAGGTCCTCACTACGTTCGCACAGTCCGGTTCAAATGGACGGTTTTGACCCTGAAAATGGATCTATCACAAGGGATCTGGCATCAGTTCAAAGTTGGACTAACCTTGAGGACGACTCTCAAATAGTATTATTCGGAACAGTTCTGGGAAATTTAGTCTATTACCTTGGATATATGGCCAAAACTATGAAGGAGGATTCTTTAAATATGGTGATTAAAAATGGAGTTGTTTTATACATATTAGACGAAAAAACTCCTTTTCTTACTAATGCTACACTTGTCAAGCACTGGACCACTTATCGAAGGATTTTTAAAAGCGTTTCGATCAATGCAATAAAAAATAAGCTAAACGGGCTAAGAGACCGCCATTATCATTCAGGCAATGAAAGTAGGCCCTTGTGGATAAGCACGAGCCTCTTACAGGGTTGAAAAGCTACTTCAAGTATCCGCTGCTGACACAATTTTACAACGGTCTAATTGAATACTTCGAGCGCACGTCTACTTCGGTAAAAGAGCAGAAAGAGTCGACGTTATCAGCAGTTCTAACTACAGACAGGAGCTGTACTAGGTTTGTTGGTAATAGAACCGCTTAACAGCAGACTGTTTGAAGGAGTTGAGAAAAGGGTATTTTGCTTATTAACTGAACTGGCTACCGTTTCGGTCGAAACTGAAAATGTCATGTGATAATACAGTGGACATAAAAGAGGACCAAGCCACACTCACAAGAGCGTATTGTGCTGGCCGCAGAGGGGAAGCAGAGGCGTTGCACTCGACAGCAAAGTTGGAGGAGATTTTCGCACTGATAGACGTGGTTGATAAGGCGGTGGCAGATTTTGGACTCCTGTTGGCGACGCATGCAGTCGTAGTTCAGCAGCGGCCACAGACGTCCAAACAGGTAGGCATCGATGGCCGAGGGTCTAAGAATGTAAGATAAGGGAAATTTTGATGCGGACAATGCAATGTGAAATCTTCCCAAATTATGTAGCAAACGTAGGCTTCGTTTCGCCTCAATATTAATATTGAAATAACACCGTGAAACCATGCGTCGAAACACATTGTAGTTCTAGTTCCACATTTGACAAAAGATAACCCTCCAATCTTCGTAGATTTGGCCGTCACAGTGGCATGGAATTCCCCTCATGCTATTTCTACCAACAGCGCAACAGTCCTACTGTGTACTCGCAAAGGAGTTACAACCAGATCACTTTAAAGAAGCATTAGGCGCAAGAAAAGGCTTCTTTAGGCGGTAATCCATGCAAAAATTCTTTTTATGATTAAAAAGAACACAAGCTTAAGTCCAGAAACGACATTGAAATTGTCAGTTTCACATATGAGGAATAACAGGGGTTCTTAACAAAAAAACGAATAAAGGTTTTGCGTCAATCGGCATGGATATACCAAACGTTGAGAAAATGATAATAACAACTACCATTTGCGCAATTTACAAATTTCATAAAGTCATTGATCCAAATCGCAAATCAAATAATAACTAGACTACCCTACATAGAAGAAACAATCATTCGAAGAATAATGAGCCAAGATTTGCATAGAATAAACTAACTTATCCCCAAAGAAGAATTGTTTGTCACTGAGAATGTAGGAAAGAGCAGTAAGACAGCGTATGACTCCTTCGTAGAGCTAAAAATACACAAAGTCAGTAAACCTATACCTTCCCAACAAGCAAAAGGAGGAAAAGGCACCAAACTCACAGTTAATTCAACATCTCTGTAGCGATTCTTCGTGTTTCCATTAGTACATAGAGTCAGTTGAGAGAACTCAGCAGATTGTATCAACTTATCCCTCCAGCGTCGCGGATACCAGAGACCTTGGAGGTAAGATAGGTTGGAACGATAGAGCAGCGACGTGTACGAATGGTAAACACTAGTGTCAGCCCAAATAAGCCAACGACAGGCCGGTGTTACTCGCCTCTCTAGGGACGTAACGAGAGATTCGAGACGAGCCAACTCCTCGTCCGAAAGCTCGTATTCTAGCCCGTAATTCTAAGAAACTGTGCAAACTGCAACTGTCTACCTCTTTGCGTAAATATTCAATTATCTTGGAAACACCTGTGACCTCATTACTGCCATGAATCAAGAGTGGAGTGCGGTAAAAGTATGATTTGTCAGAGTTCCGGCAAGACTTCAGATTGATTGGGCATCCACCCAGTCGAAGATAAGTCTAGAGTATTTAAAAAAGCAAACGAATTACGATGACGACAAGACAGTCACTATCAAACGACTCAATACCCCTGCCGTCGGGCCAAACATAGAGATCCATCCAGTCAAATCAGCGCAATGGTAGGAGACACGATGACTAGTGACCAGATGGGCCAGTAACACGACAGAAAGAATAATCGAAACCATTAATATTTTTACTGCAACTTCCGGAATTCGAACAGCTGATTACTATCAGTTCAAGTCAAGAAGGGAGAGAATGAATAAAGCTTAAAGAATGACCAAGTCTAAAAAAGTAATTTGGTTATGTTAAAACAGTCAAACTTGAAGTAAGTCATGACGCAACGAAGAAGCAAGTGTATATAAAAAAGACATTTTGAAAAAGTAATTGTAAAAAAGTGATATTCTGTATGCATACTAGGTCATCTAATGCCATTTGTACTGCTAGACAATAAAGGAGTATTAATAAAAGGATCTCGCCTCCGGCTGGGCTCTCTATTAATGAAAGGTACACTAAAACAACATAAGTAGTGCAATAGGGCTGTGTAATATGATGACTATTTACCCCTTGGTAAGAGTGAGGAGCGACTTTAAAAAGTGGTCTTTGTACCACGTTGGCTGGGCTGGCCCTTGAGCCATACCAGTAGCGTAAATACCTTCTCTGTGCTAAATATATATGTTCTGCCAGGGTATTATGCCTTTTAGCGTCTTCAGGGAAGTCTCAAGATGCTTGAGCTGGTACTTAAACTACTTGGAGTCAAAAATTGCAATTGTTTGAATGTATTTGTATGTGCTGAGTTACCTTAGATCAGCAAGAAGTGTATAATATATCAAGCAGAAATCTTGGTTTGAATTCTATTTCTATATGGGTCGCTGCTGCCTTTTTAGCAAGTCAATGGCGTTTTGAATAATTTACCAAGTATATCAAAACACACCTTCTAAAATGCATGAGTTCTAAAGTACTGCGCCTTCGCGATAATCTGCAAACTGCTGCTTAACGCGTATGACCTCAAAACACTCGTATGATAAGTTTATTGAGGAAATGACGCCTGACGTTGAGAGAAAAGCACTGAAGGACTTTGATATGTTGGGAAGATTGAAGAAAGGTGTGAACACACTTTTCCGAGGCAGTTAGTGCTTTAAGAGATAATTCAGTCCATAAGCCTAAAAGGTGCATTTGTTTGTGCTAACAAATTGCTTTTCTACTCCTTAACAGCACTAGTTGGTGCCATACTTTAAGAAACATTGTCTGGCTTTTGCTTGCTTGGGAAAAATACTAATTTTTTTCTTTAGTTTTAGTATAATTTGAAGTATGTTGCTGTATTAAGGAAGTCCTAAACTACAAACTAGCACTAATTCTACGAATTTCTCCTTTGTAGTACCCTTAGAATAGCTTTAATCAAAGCTGTAGGCTTATAAGATAGTCTAGAAGGCTAATCGAAGAAGACAAATAACGCTGTTGCTCTAAAGAAAACTTTCTATGCATTTTGTAGCGAAACTGACGCCAAGATAAATTTGCTCTATAAAGCATATGATTATATAGAGAACACTTCATAGAATATTCCTTTTTCAAAACTTGGCAACCACTCTAATATTGTGAGGCCACACGGCATGTCTAAGGCGCAGAACAGGAAGGACACTTAACTTGTGTTTGAATACATGGGCAAACTACCCGCTTTATCGTTCTTGTGTAACTATAAAGAAACAGGTCCTTCCAAAGCAATCAAACGCAAGAATATTCTCCACCCAGTACACAAGCACTTCATAATATACCAACTCTTTAAAGTGACTTATTACCTACACTCAGCTGAGGTCATTCATCGAAATCTGAAAGTGAGTTCTTCATTTTCTTTTTTGTGAAGGTGACAAAAGTGCTAATATTTTGCATGAGCTCAGACATAGTGATTGTAATATCTTTAAGCTCTTAGCATTTTCTTGAAACCGTTTATTAGGATAGGCATGTCATTTTAATCAAATGAACTCACAAAATGTGAAAAACCTTCGGCAGCTTTGCGTCGTACTTTGTCACCACTCTTTACAGCAGTTATAGTTCTAGCATCTTTTTGTGATTTTATTATCAATCAATAACATACATGCCAATATTTGTAATAAACATACGCTTAAAGTTAGTAGGAAAAAGTTCTTATGAGAAGTGTAATGTAGGGATGGCTTGAAACGAATGCACACATAAAAAATTTGATAACCTCTCAACACCAAGTTTTTCTAGGAATTCAAAAGTTGTGTTGAGCACAGCAATTTTCTGTCTTACCTCTTTTTTTGGTTCCGCAGTGCTTGTAGATTTGCTGTGTTCTTGCTCACTATTATTTGTTTCGGTTTATCTGAATAAACATTCTTAGCCGCTACTTGGTGCTAGAACTTTGCGCCTCTCTTGATTTCTGTGTTTAAAATCGTTATCGTCTCGGGATTATTGTTGCTACATCCGATCTTCAAGAGTTTGAGCACAATTAAATTGCGTATATCATATAGATCCGAAAATTTACCTTTTCTGTTATAGGTGAATTCACAACGTCATTAATTATAAGGTGTCATAACATTTTTCTACCATCGCAATTTAATTCGACAGCTAGTTACATTCTCAAATTCTCTGGAAGTATAAATGTCTTGTTATATTTTGTGTTTATTGCCTATGATGCCAGTCGAAAGTATCGCCTACAACAAAGAGCCCAATATCATAGTTTCAAAGCTCTTAAATTTCCTATCAGATGAATGGTTCTCACTATAGCCTTGTTATAAGTGTACACTAGGAACAGTGAGCTATTATCAGAAGCTACATAAATGAATCATTATGTCGGCAACACCCTTACATTAAAACCCATTCCGCCCACCCCCATAAATCTTCATTTTCTAGCACGTAAAACTGCAACACCTACTTCATAATGCCTACTGCTTCAATATCCCTTCTGTAGTGAGTCCCAGTGCATTTAGCCGTGCTAAGCAAATGCCAAAAAATCTACGTATCTTCTTCCCCTACCAGCCCTCGAATGTGCTGATAGACTCTGCATGTCGCGCAAAGCTCTGCGATTTCGGACTGGCACCTTAAAGAAGCAGAAGCTTCGTAGCGGTGACGGCCTGCTGATGGGGGTTAATGCTAAATGTCCGTTGGAAAGTATGTGGCCGCTCAATGGTATAGAACATCGGAGATCCTCCTCGCTTCCGGTCACTACACCAAGGATGTGGACCTCTGGTCTCTGGGCTGCATCCTCGGGAAAATGCACCTTGGCAAACCCCTCTTCCTCACAAGTAAGCCTTGAGTGAGTGGCTTTGTAGCCTGATTGACAATTTTACAAACCAAAGGGTGATGTAATAGACTGCGTTTCTACATTGCATGCATCAGGCGTCGTAAGCCCGTAACGGCGATCCTTCCAGCCACAGTAGATAGAAACAGCGTTGAACTGATGAACCGCCTACTGCAAGTTAATCCACTGAAAAGAGTCACAATTTGTGGAGCTTTTAGCCATGCCCACGTATAAAGGCGAGTGTCACTTGTAGCTCTCGGCTTTTCTGCGGTGATGTTGTATGTGCATAAGAGTTGGCGAACTGTCATCAAAAATTACGTAATCATACAATTAAAATAAACACCGTTGTGTTTTAAAGGTCCATTTTTTATTTGCTGCAATCTTTTTTATTGGTGCTCCTCGTAGTCGCTCTTTCGCGCCGGTTGTCAGAACGCAGTCATTACTTTGGTACTCGAAGAAAGCTGATTTTCTGCCATTGATGAGAACGCGTTTAATCTCACTGATAGCGATAAACCTGGTCAATTTCAACGATTACATACTTTGTTCTCTTTAAGAATCCTATTACAAAAAATCACTTTGTACTTCTTGAGGCAAGTCGATGTTCTTTAATGCGCATACTTCATTTATCAAACGTTTTTTGTAGAGAATTTTTTGCTGTATTCCTATTCCAACGATTTTCAAACTACTATCTGATCTCTTCAGCTGCCTAAAAAACAATGCATTAGTTGTCCACTTAACTGGCACATCTTGATTGTAAATATCTACGCAGTGACGGATATTTTTTCGTCTGCTATTGCT